GATCTTTATGTGTTCCATTTCATTTTTGATGACTTCTAATTTTCCTAGATTCATACACCATACATTACACATTCTGATTTATTCTCATTTAGAGTTGTCCCATATTAGCAAATGAAGGTCCTAATGCTTTGCTCAATTTATATCATTACAGTCCACTCTACTTTGGGAAGGCAGCTCTTCTCCAGTTTCATTTCGACTGCCTTCCAACCTGAGGGGCGCATCTTCTGGTACTCTATCAGACAATGTTCCTCTACTATTTAAAAGATTTTCAGTGGCTAATTTTTCATAAAAATGTATTGTTATGGTTCAACACATTGTTGCAGTCACTGTGTCCATCTATCTTATTGAGGGTTTTCCTTTTTCTTGCAGACCCTCTACGTTTCCAAGCATGATGTTCTTCTCTAGAGACGTGAGACAAAATGTCTCCATTCTAGTTTTTAATAACCATTTTAACTGTACTTCTTCCAATATATATTTGACAGTTCATGGTACTTTCAGTATTGTGTGTAATAGTTAGAATCCTGATGTGGTGATATAGGATAAGCAATGGACCTCAAGTCAGTCTAAGCAACGAGGTGGGCGGTTGCTATTAGTTGGAAACTACTTGATGGCACTTAACAACAACAACAAATTTTCAGAAGTACTCTGCCTATTCCTACTTCCTAATCTGACATAGTCATTGAATAAGGAAGGCCATAGAAGAAGCAGTGTATTTGATTTATGGTGGTGGGGAAGATTCCTGAAAGTACCACGGACTGCCAGAAGAACAAACAAATCTGTCTTGGAAGATATGCAGCCAAAATATTTTCTGAAAGTGGGAATGAAGAGATTTCATCTTACATAATTGGGACATGTTTTCAGATGGAACCAGTCCCTGGAGAAGAACATCAGACTTGGAAAGGTAAAGATTCAGCGAAAAAGAGGAAAATCCTCAGTGAGATAGATTTATACACAATGGCTGCAACAATGTGTTAAAACCTAACAACAATGGTGAGGATGGCACAGGAGCGCAAAGTGTTTAGTTCTATGGAACACAGGGGGTGGTAGGAGTGGAACCAAGTCAACAGCACCTAACAACAGCCTTCAGAACTGTGAGTCAATAAATTTTGTGTTTTTATATGTCACCCAATACATGGCACTTTCTTACAGAAGTTCTGGAAAAGTATTATAAGACCTTTCCTAAATATTCAAAATGCAACAGATGGTGTTTGCCCTCAAAATCATTCCCTAACGTCCCTCTGTCACTCCACAGTCCTTCTTGGGCTTCTGTTGTGCTTTATCAGTATCAGTTTTAGGATAATTACCATGTCCTACAGTGACCTACCATTATCAAAATGCCTTGTCTAGTGTCTTTAAGATAGGGGTTCAAAGGACTCATTTGAATTCACTGCTGAACATAATTTATCTACTATATGAGGAAATGGAAGGTATAAGATTTTGAAGCGACCAATCTAAAATCATGTCAAGTGATACAGGCAGGGGTTAACTGTATCCATTATTTTCCTCTTTAGAGTATATATAATCTGTATACCTACATGGGCAAGTCAAAAAGTACTGCTACAAATATCATAGCAACCTTTGTTAAGCAAAAATATCAAAATGTGAAGCTACTGTTTCTTGATACATCCTCCATCTGGGACTATACACTTCTGAGAGTGGTGTTTCCATCTTTATAATCCTTCCCTGAAGAATTCTGTGCTCTTCGAGTTCTACTACATCAAAATGACGCTTTAGGCACCTTTGAGGGAACTCGAATAATATTCTGTTTCAAAGCATGCTGAGTTTGGAGAAACAGAAAAACTGAAAAGGTATGAACAGGGTTGAAGGGTGGATGGGATAAGGTCTCCCAATAAAATTCTCCTAGGCCAGCCCTTGCTACCCATGAATGAATCAGTGCACTGTCATAACGGAAAACAATTTCTTGGAGCAATATATCTGTTATCTCATCAATGCAGTTTTCAATTTTGTTAATTCTGTTAATAAAATTAGTCTCCACTATCATTTCCCTATGTCCTTTCAGAAAATTTATAAAGATTACCACTTTGAGTCTCAAAACATAGTCACCATAACCTTCTGAGATGACCTCTCTACTATAAATTTAACTGGCCCAGCAGATCCCCTTAGAAGTCACAGTTTTAATTAAATCTTTTTCTTTCTGTAGTCAACCTAATGAGTCTAAATATGTTACTGAGAGAATTTGTCTATAGTTATCCACTGATAACAGAGACATGCTTAAACATATTTTTGAAATAGGCCTATGCATGTATGAACTGGATCCCTAGTACCAATATTTCTCTACTTACCCTTGTATATGATTAAAGGGAATATATACATAGGAGTCCTGGTGTGGCACTGTGGGTTAATGCGCCAGACTGCAAAGCTGTTTGAACTGCAAGGTTGGTGGTTCAAACTCAACAGCTGTTCCTTGAAACCCTACACAGGGTCACTATGGGTCGGGATAGACTCGATGGCATTTAACAACAATATACATAAATATTAGGGGTGAAAGGAACCTTAAAAAGTTATGTGATATTTCATAGTGCTTGACTGTGATACAAAATAATATAATTATAAATCTATTGTATCACTTACACTTAAGCAAGAAAGAAAAATATATCACAGCTAATATTATAAAACTATACACTATAATAACTAAATATAAGGTCGGCAATTCAAATCCACTAGTTGCTCCTCAGAAACCCAATATGGGTTAACTATGAGTGGGAACAGACTCAATGTCACCTAACAATACATTATAAAGTTTTTGGAAGTGTTACACTAGAACAATAAACTTGTCAATTTGTTATAACCCTTTAACTTTCATATTGATATTCTTTTTTCAATTTCTATTTTACCTTACAGCATTATCTTTTTTTTTTGTCTCACTGCAGTTACGAGAGGATTAAATTACAGCAAAGTTGTACAAGAGATCCCTCACACTGACATTCTATATTGGGTCAAATGCAAGTATTTAAATAAATAAATAGGAATAGTACAAGAATCACAAGGTGGAAAAAACAACAAATGAGGTGAACAAACAAGATGGTGGATTGGGCAGAATTGCAGTGAGGCGCTCCTTCAGCAACAACACAGAATACCGGACCAAGCAGGCTCAGGGGATGGTGCCAGAACTCTGAACCACATATAAAGGAATATTTAGAAGGTTGGAAAGCTTACAGCTAAGGGAATTTTTAGCAAAAGCAAAAAATCCATTGTTTTCTAATTCAAGAAGCTCAGCTGCTCCCACAGCCACCATCTTGGGTGAGTCCAAGCAGGGGAAGGATCAGAACAGCCACATTTGCCTGACAGAACCGGGCAACAAAAGTGAACATTCTTTTTTTTTAAAAAATCGGTTCATTGGTCTCTTGCTGTCTGCGCACCTCCTTTTAGGTGAATAGAGGGTGTTCCTAAGCGAATGGAAACAACACCCCCACCTTGGGAGGATTCTGCTACACATGCACATAGATCTCCCTGAAATTTAAAGTGACAGTTTCCACTTAAAATCAAATGGAAGCATAAAACAGCCACAGCCAGCCCTAAACTGTTTATCGGGGGTTGTGGAGTGGGACAAGCAGCCTAAAAACGAAACAGGCTGAAAATTAAATCCTGAGTTACATCACAATGACCAACAGTGGCATCTTGAAATTTCTCAAGAAGAAGAGTGAAAAGGGTAGCCTATCTCTGGATTACATCTACCTGGAGGCATTCAGAAAGCATAAAAACACCAAAATACACACCCATCTAAGAATTAAGGCCAAAGACAACTCCTGAATATGCCCCAAAAAACAAAGACAGATGACAATACCAGCACATGTCCAGAAAGGGGATAAAGTGACTGGGGCAAATCAGCTGGAAGTAGACCTACACTCCATATTGAAAGATGGGCAGGCTTTGGAAATGCCTGAGAAGGAATTCAGAAAAGTGATTATAAAATGTATCAAAACACTATACAATGGAGTTGAGGAAAATAAGGAAGAAGTCAAGAATGTGCTATAGGAACAATCTAATAAGATAGATACAGCATTGGAAACAATTCAAAACCTACATAAAGAGGTTCTAACAATTAATAATAGAATATCAGAAATGGACAATACACTGAAACAGCAAAGGTGTAGAACTGAAGACACAGAAGCCAGAACTAGTGAGCTAGAAGATAAATCTCTCAACATGACTAAGATAGAAGAGCAAGCACAAAAAAGGATAAAAAAATTTGAAGAAGACCTAAGTTTCATGCTGGACAACATGAAGAGGAATAACGTTAAGTATTACTGGCATTTCAGAACAGGAAGAATCACACAAGTCCACAGAGGTGATAGTTAAAGAGCTTCTGGAAGAAAATTTTCCTAACATCCTGAAAAGCAAAACAATAAGCATTCAAGAAGCTCAGCGAACCCCAGGAAGGATAGACACGAAAATAAAATCACCAGGACACATCATAATCAGCTCTCCAAAATAAAAGATAAGGACAGAATCCTGAAAGCAGGTAGGGAAAAGAGAAGTGTTACATACGAAGGCAAGCAAATCAGATTAAGCTCGGATCTCTCAACAGAAACCTAGGAAAGAAGGCAATGGGGAGACATATATAAAACCCTGAAAGAAAAAAACTGCCACCCAAGAATCCTCTACCCAGCAAAGCTGTAAATAAAACACAATGGTGTAAGCAAAACATTCCATGATAAACAGAAGCTAAGGGATTTTGCCAAAGCCAATACTGCTAATTTAAACCCTGGAATTTTAAAGTGACAGTTTCCACTTAAAACCAAACAGCCACCACTCGTCTGTCAGTTTATCGTACTGCAGTGGCTTGTGAGTTGCTGTGATTCTAAAAGCTATGCCACCAGTATTTTATATACCAGCAGGGTCACCTATGGTGCACAGGCTTTAGATAAGCTTCCAGACGAAGACAGACTAGGAAGAATGAATGATGAACTACTTCTGAATATTTAGTCACTGAAAACCTTATGAATAGCAGAGAAACACTGTCAGTTATAGTGCCGGAAAATGAGTCCCTCAGGTTGGAAGGCACTCAAAATGTAACTGGGGAAGAACTGCCTCCTGCAAAGTAGAGTTGACCGTGATGATGAAACCTGAGTAAAGCCCGTGGGAGAAAAGCCCATGGGGCTTTCATTTGCTGATGGGGCACAACTCAAAATGAAGAAAAACAGGTATAAACATCCATTGAAAATCGAAACATGGAATATACGAAGTATGAATCTGGGAAAATTAGAAATTATAAAAATGAAATGGAATGCATAAACATCAATATCTTAGGCATTAGTGACCTGAAATGGACTGGTATTTGCCATTTTAAATCTGACAACAACATGTTTTACTATGCTGGGAATGACAAATTGAAGAGGAATGGTGTTACATTCATCGTCAAAAAGAACATATCCAGATCAGTCATGAGGTACAGAGCTGTCTGTGATATGATAATATCCATGTGCCTACAGAGAAGCCCCGTTAATACCACTATTATTCAAATTTATGCACCAACCACTAAAGCCAGTGAGGATGAAATAGAAGAATTCTACTAACTTCTTCAATTTGAAATTGATCAAATATGCAATCAAGATGCATGGATTATTACTGGTGAATGGAATGCAAAGGTTGGGAAAAAATAGGAAGAATCAGTAGTTGGAAAACATGGCCTTGGTGATAAAAATGATGCTGGAGAACACATGATAGAATTCTACAAAACCAATGATTTGTTCATTTCATATATCTTCTTTAGACAACACAAGAGATGACTAGACACATGGAGCTCACAAGATGGAATACACAGAAATTAACTTGACTACATCTGCAGAAAAAGACGATGGAAAAGCTCCATATCATCAGTGAATACAGGGCCAGGGGAACACTGTGGAACAGACCACCAATTACACATATACAAATTCAAACTGAAGCTGAAGAAAATGAAAACAAGTCCACAAGAGCCAAAATATGACTCTGAATATATACCACCAGAATTTGGAGATCATCTGAAGAACAGATTTGATATATTAAATACTAAAGACTGAAGACCAAAAGAGTTGTGGGATGACATCAAGAACATCATACATGAAGAAAGCAAAAAGTTATTGAGAAGAAAAGAAAGAAGGAAAAAGTCCAAAGGGATGTCAGAAGAGACACTGAAACTTGCTCTCCAGTGTAGAGATGCTAAAGCAAATAGAAGAAATGAGGTCCAAGAGCTAAACAGAAAATTTCAAAGATCAGCTTGAGAAGATAAAGCCACATATTACAACAAAATGTGCAAAGATCTGGAATCAGAAAACCAAAA